TTTTTTTTTTTTTGATATATATGTGTTTTAGGGTACGTCATGTGTGTAGTTTTGACATGTTTGGATCAATAATGAAAAATTTGACATTTTGTTGAATTCGTTGGACGCTTCATTTTGACTCGGACAGTGTCTTTGTGTTAGGGTTTCATAGTGTTTTTTTGTTTTTTTTTCGTTCTTTTTGGCATGTTTCCTTTTTTGATGTTTGCAGTATGGTCTCATATCGTTTGTTTTTAAAAATTTTGATGAAATTCGCACCGCAATTGCCAAGAAAACGGCGAATATTTGGGCCCCCGTAAACCGTCTCTCATCTGGCTCGATCAGGCCATCTTGTATTTGATGGCAAAGCCGAAGATCGTGAAAGCAGAGGCAAGCTCTAATTGGGTCCGGATCGCATTCCTCCTCCACCATCTGCGTCACTCCTAGAGGGAGCTCGCAAAAGCCTCGGTCACGTTCATTTGGATGTGCGAAATGATGCTCACCATCCTACGCAACCTCGAGAGGAACCCGAAACTGATGACGTTCGATGCTCTGGCTATCAGCATGTTCAAAACGCATGCCTGCCCAAGGATCTTGGCTAACCTAATCCTCCCTACACCCATCATCCCCGGGCTTCCGGCCCCAGAATTGCCGAACCCAAAGAAGAGGAAAAAAAAATATCCCGTAGGCGCAACAAACAAGACGGTCGGCCTGATATCACCGCGGCAACAGACCCTACTAAACTCATTTCGAATCGCTGCCTCTCCGATTGTGTGCTCCTCCTCCAGTCCTGATCTCGTGATCAACAGTCAGCTCTCCACTGTCATTTCGAATGACTGTCCCGGTAGTGCCACAAGGGCAGGAGACTCCTCCAAGAAACGCAAGGCTAGAGCATCCTGATGTAGGCATCCACGGACCATAGTAACTTGATGCGCACAATATATATACACACAACATAGGTATACGCGTATATACGTATGTACTTGTATATATACACGCACCGTATCTGGCTACGAGATATAGGCATAGTCCTANTATATATACACACAACATAGGTATACGCGTATATACGTATGTACTTGTATATATACACGCACCGTATCTGGCTACGAGATATAGGCATAGTCCTATGCGCACATACATATATATATATATATATATATATATATATATATATATATATATATATATGAATAATTTCATTGTCTCCCCTTCCCGTCCCCCTCCTCTGATCCTTTTCCTCGGCCATCCGCTCCCCTTTCCTTCCCCGTTTCTTTTTTTCCCCCCCCTCTCCCCTCGTTTTTTCTTCCCTCCTTTGTCCTGCTTTCCCTAGCAGATAACACACAATGGGGGTGCAACCGAAAGAAGGATCTGGAGGCATGCCCGCCGCTTGGCCGCATCGAAAATGGAGCTTAAGAATGCCTACGATGTTCTTATTGAGAGAAGCAATCAAATTGTTGTCACCATCTTGCGCGAAGAAGGAGAGGAGCTTGTGGGTATCTCGCAGTCGGACTCAGCCCCGCGTATCTGGACCAATCTCATCCTGCGCAGGCTGAAGTCTAATCATAATGCGGTTATTAAAGACTTTAGTAATCTATGGCGTTCTCACAGGGCGGTTCTTCTTGCGGAYAGAGATGYGTGGGATCTGCARAYGCGCCTCTTWAGGAAGACAATCGCGGAGTTAAGAGGGCAGAACTACAAGTTGGTTAGAATCCTCCACTCCATTGTCCTCCTTTCACTTGCCTATTGCTACGCTGCTACCATAGTCATCTRATGATGCCTAMACGTGCTGCAGGTTTGAGCAAGGTAACTGCAGTGGATCGACGGTGTGGAATATACTKCGGCCTGCCCTATCGAAATAAAGACAACTTCCGGTTGTCCACTCTTAGACGAAGTATGGCGTTGGAGATCGGCAGGCGCATTCCGGAGATACTCAGGGTGGAGCTCGACCCGGACATCTTTCTTCCATGGCCTACGGCGGGTCCGACTTTGATTAGGATCATTAAGCCGAAGATTTGGGAGGCCCAGAGGAGCTCTGCGCACCCTGCTATACCTATGGACAACTTCGCAATGGCGGACGTCTTGATGGCACAACCACAGATCACAACTGTTGCGGGGATAGTCCTCTCGGTGGAATACAAGGATGTGGTGATTGGGGAGATACGGTGTTCCAGAACCAGGTTGGAGGAGGGGAGCATCTGCTGTGACACTAGGCTAAGGGGTGTTTCAGGGGAGGATGCGTTCCCAGGAGAGCGGAGTGGGCTGCTTTGGTCGGCAATGAGAACGGCTATGTGTGAGATTGCCTCCTCAGTCGCTGCTACCTTGGATCATGGTGAGGACGCAGGAGGGGACTGCTTCTATGGATTCGGCGGCCTGTTCGGCCCAGATGCGGACTACTGGGCAACGATTGCAAGGACTAAAGATGCCCTGATGGCGGAACCAAGGTCACCGGGACCTCACACCGAGGATGCGTTCGTACTGTCTGGCTCTAACATAGCGGGTATCGCCGAAAACGCAAGCAATGGCTCGGAGCAGGATGGCGAGGGAGGCCAACCAGGGATGGAGGCGCACCACGGCGGTCTTGCTTGATCTAGTGGCAGTTACCATAGGAGATAGCCGGTGTACCCCCTCCCTCCCTCTCTCTCTCACGCTCTATCGCCTCCACCCTCCAGCTCTACCTCCTCCTCTTTTCACATCCTTCCGCTCTCTTTCTCTTTCCCTCTCTCTTTCTTTTTTTTTCTCTCTCTCTCTCTCTCTCCCCCCTCTCTCTCTTCTCTTCTCCCTCTCTCTCTCTCTCTCCCCCTCTCTCCCCCTCTCTTACCCCCTTTCCCCTTTCTCCCCCCCCCTCACGACTACAATGCCCGCACCGGCCTCCCTGCAAATGCACCAATCAATCAAGGGAGGGTGGGGCGACCCCGCCCCCACCAATCAATCAATCAATCGATCAATCAATCAATCAACGGAAAAAAAAAGGAGCAAAATCGAATGAATCTTCCCTTAGAACATGGGTATATACAATCCTACATGTGTGTGTGTGTGTGTGTGTGTGTGCGCCTGTGGGCTATGTATTGCCCGAGGCCGCGGTCACCGCGGGCACGACCGCGGCCCATGTGGTCGACCGCGGGCCCGCGGTCATGACTGCAGCGGCCGCAGTCGAAAAAGGCGCGCCGCGGGCAAGCGGAGGGGTGTACCCGAGGTCGGGGTCGGTATTCCGGGGGCGCACTCGATGCCCCACCCCCCCACATTGAAAAAAAAGAAAAAAAACTGAAAATCGGGGGGTCCATTTTAGAGGGGGGAGGTAAATAATGGACCCCCTTTCATTGTTTTTTTTTTTACTTTTCGCTTTTCCGTTCTATTGAACCATTGCCAAGTAGTTTATTGTTTTTTTTTTTTTTTTTTGAGGGATTGATTGATTGATTAATTGGTTGATTGATTAATAGATTGGTTGATTGATTGATTCATTGATTGATTGATCGATTGATTGGTTGATTGATTGATTGATTGATTGATTGATTGGTTTGATTGTTTTTTTTGGGGGAGGGGATTGCTTGATTGATTGATTGGTTGATTGATTGATTGATTGATTGATTGATTGATTGATTGATTGATTGAACGACCGAGCACACACACACACAGACACACAC